TTTATATGTGCATCCCAGCTTATTTATTATGAGTCTCTTGGACAAATGCATCTATTTTTTGTGGCTTGTGTATGATTTTGGAGGTTAAAAACACAAAAAGAGAAAATATAGCTAGCATATTAACAGATACACAAATCCAGTTTATTATTATCCTTACCTTTAATACATATAGTGATTTAAACTGTGCATTGTTTATTAGTATCGCTATTAGCAATGCGTTTCGCGACACATTAATCGTAATATGATAAATAAAAACACAAACAATTTCATCTCGTTTGTAGCATGAGCTCGCGCATAGGTATTTAAAACGGTTGTTGCTGACTGATTTTTGCTATCTGATCTATGAACGCCAGATACGCAATACAGAACTGACGCAGTTTGGCGCCAGGTGATCGATTACAGTCACGTGCAGATCGCGCACGCACCACTTGCATATGGCGGGTTATCAGTGTTATGCTAAATAGATCAAATTAAAGAATGATATTATTCTTACACATGGTGCGATATGAACATCATTTTTGTATGAACGCTGTCATCCTAGTATCAGTTAACATGCTAAATGGTGATCTTCGGCGTCCATTCCATCAGTGCCGCCAAGTCTATAACGGAGCTATAATAGACGCTTCAGTATACCTTTACAAGAAACAATAATACTAAATAACTAAAATGCCTCGTATGGAGGTACCTGTATGTCCAGGTGCTGCATTAAGCGTTCATATGGTAATACAGGTTTGCAAGCGTACGAGACAATTTGTTTCCCAGTTAGCAAGAATCAACGCGCTGGTATTTCAAAATCAGGGAAGTGTACCAGCTACTTGTAATCTATTATATATCGCAGACTATCGGAAAGTCTCGCAGTGTTTCAGTTCTCTTCGTTGGTATAGTTTTATACCTTTAAATATCCGAACGTCCAAAAGGTAGTGGCCGTGCTCAACATGTTTGATTTAGAAAAAATATCATTCATTAGCAGCTGATTGGCCGTTTCGGTTTGTTCACAAACATCAGAGTAGGTCAGGCTGGTATTTTGTTTGCATTCGAGTTGTAGTTATTGCAAGTTTGGCACGCCTCATCGGGTAACTTTTCACCGTTGGATAACAGTAGCAGAGGTAAGAGCACACTTATTATTACACGACGATCTCCGTCGATTTGAAAACTGTTGACCGATGAATGTCGGCGCACGATGCAAATGACGATTGGAGTCCAATTGAGTGCAGATTGTTGACTGCTTGGTTGCTGCAGATTTATGTATCCTTGGTTCCTGTCAGAGTTTTACCGGTGAGCTTTGAAAAGTAAGATGCTATGAGCACGCTCTTTCTTTCATCTATTTGCCAGGTAGCCGAGATTTCAGCCGAGAAATCGCTGTCAATCGTTTGCGCACGTCTTTGGTGTTCTACGGCATGCTGCTAGCGGTGACGACTGATTGCAACCACAGGATAATTTTTTTGCCCCTATAAACTCCTTAGACGATATCGACGCAGCCTTGAAGCTCTCTCCCCTATGAATGAAGTAAGTTCGGTACGAAGGTTTCCATGCACGTTATTTATACTTTGCTTAAACTCCCGTGAAAAACAATAGTAAACTGAATGACGCACATGCTGAAATTTTGAATTTCACTAGGGTGGCTGACTAGACGGAAGCCCAAAGCTTGTTTCTAATAATAGCCACAGATTTGGCTTCAACACAGAAGAGAAAAAGAGACAAAATTGAATATCGGTCAACAACATATAACCAGTACTTATTGAGGTTATAGCACTGCGAAACTTTTTTGGAAAATAACACCAGCGTACCAAGCGCCGGATCCGATAAGGAGAATGTATTACTACTTATGAAAAAACCTCCAATTTGTTGTCTGTTATTTGTATTATTATTTGCGCTCTGATGTAGAATGCTTCTACTGATCGCATAGAGCACAAACTTTTAAACGAATGTGCTTGTACATAGAGTTCACATAGTACGTACAGTAATTAGTGAGTTAGTAGTTATTGAACCTTTGTAACAAACTGTTTAGGAACTATTTAGGATGATGCTGAAAACTACCAAAATCTACATACTGCATACATTTTGTTTTAAGAGCTAGACAACGGCTTATTGAGGAAGTGCGTCAAATACGACGAGCTCATGGCACCTATAATCGAGCAAGTGATGAACGATCTGAGAAATTATTTAGGGTGTTTGTCGTTATACACGTATGTTTTAGGCACCACTCTAGCACGTTTTACAACGAGTCCATCTTTATGTCAAACTAGCGATGCCGATGTTCAAACATTTATGCCGACAATTTATGTACTTAGTACTGCCGCACGTCGTATTCGGGTATAAACCGCAAACGCTAATATCATAGTTCACTTAGAGAAAACACGCGTTTGCCCATTTAAAAGTCCAGAACGACTGCCTTTTAAGGACACGATCCTCCTCCGGGCGTCCTTTCTTCCTTTTTGCGATTTTCTCCGTTTTTTTTTTATCATCAGTGTTAAATTGCCTGAACTTAAATTTGGTCAAAAAAATCTTGTGAGGAGATATAGCTGGATTATCCATTTAGCTTATTTGGTTGAATTGTATGGATTCGCCAGATATGGTGAATCCAGGGTTTTCACCTCTTGAATACACATATGTTGCTGTGACAATTTGATTTACGACAGGCTAACCAAGATTTTTTTGGAACGATTGTCAATTTCTTATAAAACCATTTTCCAAACCCATCTGGTTAACTTTAAGGTCTGAATATCTTACACTCATTGATTGCATATATCGCCTTTCAAAACTAGCAAGACAAGTAATATTCTCTGCCTGTCAAAAGCACAATGAAACTTTAAACCGCATTGATATATTATAAAGATGTTTTCTAGCATATGATTCCAGTACGATGGCGTGACAAACCTTTGTTACTACAGGAAAAGTAAGCGACTTTGAGGTTAATTTCAGTTTCTTTGTTGTTTCACAGACACATTCCCAATTTGACGTCGTGCCTATTTGTTCCTCTTCTACTTTAGTCCGCTAGCTCCCTATGCTATATGCGTCTCGTACCTTGTCTACAAACAGCTATAAGCAGCTTTCGATTCTTCTTGCTTACCTAACAGCATCCATTTATTAAGCTTCTTCCCCATGGACAAGTGATTCACATTTATTGGGTATAGATACACCAGTTATTGCTCCTTCTTAGTGCTACAAGAATTATACCTGATAGTAAATATTCATACAAATCATCATCAATCGTCCTATCATTATGGTATGCGCGAATCGCGACGTTTCTGAGCGTTCCAAGCTACAACAACAGCCGCAAAGCTCGTAGGCACAAATAAAGCGTAAATGGAGAAAGGATTCTTACGCTGATGCAATCTCGTAGTTTAAGCAGACTCAAAAGAGAGACATATGCTTCTCACCTATCAAAATCGGCATGCAATTCTCAAAACAGCATCAGTTACCCTCTTCAAAGCTGCGGGTAGTCGCAGTCAAGAGGTTTTTAGAATGAATACAGAAAGCGTAAGACGCGTGTGTTTTTCCCGGCCAATTCGCCTGAGCGGGTAGTACAAATTCATGAATGGAGAGAATGGCGACAACGCACATCCCATGTTTTGCATATACGTCACAACAATCGTTCTATTCAGCCGCCTGAGCGGCGTTGAGAAATATTGTTGGCATCTCTCGTTCTTCATTATTCGTAATTCTTTATCATAAAGTTTCTGCATATGTGCGTCGGTATTGAAAATGCCAAGCCATGCTAACCCTTTGGTTGAGACGTACATAAGTATTTGTTTGAAGTGGTTGCTTGACAAGGAGGAAATGTTTGACACTGACGCCACGCACTATGCAGGTGTCGGGAGACATGAAGGTAAAACTGGTGGAGACGAATCAAAGCCAAGTCAAGTAAATATCGATGGAGTGACAAGATCAAGTAACAGATTATATATTGCATAGCTCTGTCGGCGGAGTCTGATGGCTTCCGAAAACAGAAGATGGCAGGTGATACGCAACTGCAAATGACATGCTGAACACATTTGACAGTTGTCAGAGTCGAGAAACTTTGGTAAACCACTGCGGCCGCTAATGTAATTTCGTTCTTCTTTCAAGTTCGATTCAATTTCGTCACCTATTTTTTTTTTTTTAAATAAAATACAGCTAACGGAAAAACAGGAAAAATTATATGAACAAATAATTATCACCAGGTTAAATATGAGGTTCGCATCAACAATCCATTATGTAGATCAGATGTGTGTCCATGTGCAGTTAGTGTGGCCGTCTGTCATCGTCGTTCAATTATGGGACCTACAACTGTCATCTACAACTGGACGAAATAAAGTGCAGAAGGTTCACCGTAGTATTCATAAACTAGATACGTCATAAATTTACGGAGTATATTTTGTTAGATTATGTAATAAACGCACCAGAATAATACAAAAGAGTTGAACAGTTCGACGACTGACATGTAAGTTATACATATTCGTGTAAATAAAACGCCATCAGAAGTAGGTTGAACGTGATCTCCAGATAAATAGATAGTAGTTTTAGCTTAATTTCTTTACAAAAATGTGTATAATGAAAAATTTCGTTCGATTTAAGGCATCACATGTAGTCGAAAAGTTTATCATTACATGTTCAGAAGTTTTGAGATTGTATGGTATCGCTAATTTTGTCGTATATTCACTGAAGCCCCATTACAAAGAGGTAACTATTACAGTTGATTAAAAACCGAAGGTAAAAAGAGCTATTGGCCCAAGAGCGTCGAACATTCTGTCCAGAAACAAACAACAGCGAAGACAACTCTAGCTACGTGATGCCGTAACAACCACCGACTAATAACGATAAATATCGATGAAAAGAAATAATTTTGTTCGACGGATGCTGCCACTTCGTTGGTGTGCTCTAAATTGATATTTATTTCAAATGCGCCACGGCAGTATTCACGCATTAAATAAAGGAAATTAATAGTTCGATGCAAAAAAGTATACTGTATATTCTCGTACATACAAATACAATATATAGATGAATCAGACAACGCGCACCTCATTTTATTGTATACTCGTGCTGTTCCCGTACGTGTGTGACAATAATTTTAGCGGCGATTAAAGAACGAGTCAGGGTAGCAGTTGCCACAGAAATGACCGCGACCACCTCGTCTATATTCTTACATAACCTCACTCTAAACTGGCCTACCTAGGGGCCTATTCGCCTTTCACTAGGTTAGCCTACTTGGTCCATATCATTGTGGCTGGGCTCATATCACGCGGATCCAGAATTCAGCCCGATCGAGACCCATCAGCCTACAATGATAAATAATACAACGCCCTTTTAGTACGGTTGGTGTCCGTGCAGCTACCGGTTGTTGACTGACCGCACTGCGGCGACCTTGGGAAGAGTAGTTAAAAGGAGGCTGTAACGGGAGGCAGCAACGACGTGTAGTACACGCTATCGTCGTCTGTTTCTTTTGCTTTCGTTTGAGCTCGTCTCCCCTTTCCCCGTCCTCGCCTTTTTTTCCTTCGATCTGCTTCAATAATCGTTGCGACGGTCACTAAAAGTGAACAGCAAAGAACTTTAATGTTAGACAAGAGAGAGGGAATCCAGTGAAGAATATGAGGTCGAACACCCAAGTCTTTAGCGAAAATCTGTTACAAAAAACCACGCATAGTCCATAGACAAGAGTGGATCAGTGGGGTTGGGAAGGTACAGTGATAAGGGGGTAACCGGCATGGCATTACAATTGTTGATCAAGCCTCTACAGAAGAAAAGGGATAATAAGAAAAACGGCGGCAAAAGGAAGTGAAAAATGTTGGGGAGAACAGACGGGTAGCCGAACGTGACAGGCTAGAACAGAAAAGCTCATTAAAAGGTGCCAGCTGGTCCAATTGGCTTTCTTGAAAACGGAAGAGCAGTGCCGAATCCAGTGTAGTACTAATAGCCTCCCCCAGCGCAGTATAAGCTAAAAGACGCAGAAAGCATATTCGTTATTCCACTGAACTACACCCAGTTATGCACATTTACAACAACAAGCCCCCATAAACAAAACGTTACTATCCCCACACAAAGATGCCTGACCGGTGGTGACCATGCATACACTTTCGCTGCAACCGATATGAAGGAAGGCAAATCGTTGCGGTTTAACGTGTGTATGAGTGCAGCATAAATGTACACCGCTACTGATGACATTTCCATATTACATTACTCTGTACACTAGTATCGTAATGAAGCAATCTTGATTAATGGTTCTAGACAGCAAGGTAACTTGCTGCATGAAAGCAAGTAAGACGTCTACGCCTTTCATTTTCCGAGATATTTCTATCTTATAGTAGTACCAGTAGAATATTAGGTGGCTGAACTATGATTCGCTAATCGTAGCAATTTGACTTTGATGCAGGTTAATTATTTAAAACGAAGTATTGTTCAAGAAACCAATAAATAACAGACTAAAAAATTTTCTGTTTGGTGCTGTGAAACGCACCCATATATGATAATTCGAACATATTCCTAGTCGCGGTGAATTGAGTTGATCGCTTAACTATCTGCGATACACTATTGATATCTACGATATTGCTGCTTAAATTGGCAAATATTGCATTGTAGTAATCCTACAAATATTTGTTACACTCCGTCAATACTGATGACACACCAAATAAATTGTTGACCGGTCAAGCAGTAATGGGCTTTAATGAGTAAAGATCAAATTAATGCTCCGCGCCTCGTAGCAGAAGGAAAGGTTCATTTGTTGGCATAGATGTTTCGCTACAGATATCCTCCCAGACAAAGGACACTTATTTCCGAATGCTTTCTAATATCATACTTTTACTTGTTGTCTGTTTTCAACGTGCCTTGTCTTCTGTTAAGTGTTAATACCTATTCTTCATGGAATCATTCATATACTAGGTACACTATATTTCTATTGAACTATGTTATAATTACAGATTTAGCACGAATCAATGATAATTTATCTCAATCCAACTAGGTTCAATTAATACATTACGGCTGTAGGGACATAGGGACAGATCAAATGACTTCTAACGGTAAATGGTTCAGTAGACACACAGGTATTTTCGTTGCTAGAAGAATTTTCCTTTTTCTTCATTTAAAATTTCGGTGCCGATTCTGTAAATTCGATTACATATTTCCGATGCGATGTATTCTTCAACTTCACAATATATAAACGAAAGCAGTACATGAATTATATGCTTCAGTAAGACAGGAAACTCCTGCAGTTATATTGCGGAATATTATATAACTTTAAACTTTATGTCGGTCTGCTTGTTTTTTATTTAAGTTCGCCGAAAGCAGTAGATGGAGAGGCATCGTGGGGACTGCAAAAGTAAGCCCTTAATCAATTAGACCGTACTTAAGAGTAGCCATGTCGTTGCTCGGTTCCCTTTTTTCATCCATCTCTCTCTTTCTTGTTTCTATCCTCCTCCCCACTAGTATAAGAACACTTCGTAAGTTGTTTCCATGCAGTGAAGTAGAAGGTTGGGACATGGAGTAGAACTGACAACGAAGTCCAGAACGATGATTCACGCAGCTGCAATAGTGCCGGTTGCCATTAATTAGAAATTGGCCATGGGACTTGGGACGATTCAAGGGCTTTACGATTCAGCTATCCTGGGACCAGACTTGCGGGAAACGAAGAGCATGCAGAATCTGTCATATGATTATCGCATATTCGCCGTTGTCTGGCTGGCAGTCGCCATGACCGTGATCGCTAAAACAGCCTCCCCATAGATGCTGAAATCGTGACCATCACATCGCCGTTACAGCCAGTGTTTTATTAATCACCGTCAGTGCAATGTCGCGAGTAGCCAGACAAAATGAGTGTGGAAAAGAGAGATAGACAGAAGTGAGCTTCAGCAAAGGGCTGTAGTGGCAGCTACATGGCAGCAAGTTCTTTTGCTGTGGAGCTGTCCCGGACAACTGGGTCGCTCGAGTTTTGAATCAAATGATTTTACTTAGGACGATTCGGCCTGTGCAGCGAGCTATTGTGCTTGCCTAACCGACAGATACTCCCTCCGAGAACAGGGAAAAATGGCCTCACTCTATTACCTTAAGAATACTGCCACAGCCGTTGCGTCACAACAGCCTTAGCTTCAGTCACAACTGACAACCACAACCCTACTCCTTCAAGAAATGGCATGTTCAAGCCGACGTCACTAAGCTTCACCAGTTTAGCTTAGTGGGGTGAAGCTTTCTTGCTTAACGGTGGGGACAGCAACTACTGCAGCGCAGACGACAGCAGCGATAGGGTAGCGGTTAGCTGTGTTCCAGCTGCTAAATTAGAAGGATACTCCTCAGGCCTTTTTGCCCCTCTGTTGTGACTGAAGACAAATCTCACCACCGCTGTTTTTGCTACTCGCCTGTAGCTAGATATAACATAATAGATAACATAATAAAAATGTAGTATCCGTATATATAAGGCGTGCCAGCAAACCCCTGACAGAATGAATTATTCCACTTCTTGTCTCATCTCTGCAACGAGATTACAACTTATAACGACTGTGAGCAAACGAAATCCAATGGATATCCAATGTGATTAGAGAAAACGCAGTGTATTCGGCTACCATTGAATTATAACGCCCCTTACTTCAGCTTCCTGATGATGTTCTTCTGCTAAAGCTATTCATTCAGCCAACGACCAGAAATCTGCGTCGTTACTACTTTAGAACTAGAATCGCGTCCATGGTTCTCCTTCGTTTGACAATTGATTATAGACAAGAGCACACACCCTGTTTATGTACACAGCTTTTCTTCTGGTTTACAGAGCTAACATAACGAATGATAGCGTATTTCTATTTTTCTCGGGTCGTAATTTAGTAATATATTTAATATAACGTAGTAACTAGACTCCTAAACCTCAACTCGACGCCTTGGCTATCAGAGTAATTACGATCTCGCTACTATAATAGGTTGTGATGGGTAATGGCCAAATTGAAAAGAATTAGATTTTTCTTCTATGCGTAGGAAATCTTAAGTTCGCTGCCGATGACAGTTGCTGTTAGCAGGTTGTTTTGCAGTGTCATCATATAAGCGTTAGCTTACAGCTAAAGTCGTTGATACGATATCTGTTATTGTCAATGCTGCTGTTAAATTTTTTTAATTGTTTTTTTTTTTTGATGATGTTCGAACTACACCGCAAAAGTATCGAATTTTCTTTCAAATATCATCTTCACCCCATATTGACAGTAATAATTACAACCAAATTACGTCCTATAATCATCTAAGCGTCTGGCCTTGCACGAAATGCGTACCGGATCTTGCCATTTTCATGGCCTCATAGAGCATTATGCTACCCGTCAGTTAGGTCGACTTGAAATATCGTCCAATTCATAATCTGATTAGACCCACCGAGGCCGATGTTCTGGTCCTGTAGAAAAAGTTTTTTGACTTTGTTCTTGTGCGCTTTACAACTACAGAATGCTGCAACCCGTTCCTGCTTGCATATAATTTCATACCTTTCCCAAGCACAAATATGACAAAGAAAGGAATTAGTTCGCAAACATCACTTCTCCTGGAAATCAGACAAAGGGGCAATCAAAATGGTAAGCGAATAAAAAAAATTGCCATATCTAGCCCGGATATAAAAGTTCACTGTAACATCATAGACCAACCAGATTTTTCGCGCAAACGATTTCACGATTGTTCACATGCCTTGCACGCTACGGATAGAATAAAGATAATCGTTCTATTTATCGCTGGGGTCGAACGGTGAATAACACATCGTGCTCAACATAGCAACGTTGTGCCACAATCAATAGTGGAAGGAAATTCCCCCAATAAATATAATAATAGCGCAACCGTTTTCTCTACTACACAAAAATTCATACAAAGACATAAAAAACCTGTGGATAAAGTGAACACGTATTCGTTTGGGGTGTCTGCACGCACGTGAACATGTAAATTTCACGCTGTATTGTACCGTAGAACAGAACTCGCCTGTCCTCTGCCCCCTTCCGTTTTGGGGGAAACATATGCACTGTGAGGTAAATGAACACGAAAAAAGGATTTCAAATATCGGCATTACACGCGATTATTATTAATATTTAGTGAACCTGACGAATGCATACTTATGTATGCGGTATACAGTGTAATATAAAGTCAGGTTATTTCATAAGGTAGTCGGTGCTGCTCCATCGACTGTCAGTTCTTCTATAAATGTGATATATAATGGAATTTATTATAGATGTCAGTAACACACGAATCGCTAATTGTCATTATATCATACTCATGTTAAAGATAATGGTATTAATTAATATAATTATTATTAAATATTCCGCTACAAAACGTGTACCCCAGCACTTTTGTTGCGTTGTGTAGAATCAGAAAGTGGCAAATAACAAAGGCAGCTAATGCAGCCAGCTGCACTAGGCCATATACGATGCAATCAGAGGTACAATCAAACAATACATAAGGCCCCTAAACAGGACTATCAAGAACATCACGGTCAGCAATATAAATGACACCCCGGGTTTTCATCTTGACGGCTAACATCACATAAATAATAACCAGGAATGGACGTCCAACAAGAGCAGCTAATTAACAATTTCGTTTATGTTGTCTACTCACCTTCATGGATAAAACTATCCGCTAAAATGTCATTAATTTTAATGGAACCACCCGAAGGTTTCAAGGGGACGTTTGCGGTACCGGACAGGTCTCTAGTCACTCTGAATCATCGCAAGATTGCTGCCACAGTCACAGTTTGCCAGAACGTTTGACAGTGTTTCAGGATATAGATACTAATATTATACATATACAGGCAGTCCATTTGTCTGGAAATACTGACCTCTTGGCCAGCGGAGGTTCCCCTGGTAACGTGCCTTCTTACAGCATATCTATCATATTACCACATTCATCAGGTTCATTAGTCTTACGATCTTACTTCTTTGTTATCTCACAGGTTAGTAATGTATCGTGGGAAAAAAATCCCTTCTCCTTTTTACTAACTTGCTTCTCTAACGACTGAGGTTATTCACTCGGATACAGCTTGTTAATAAAGCACAATCCGATTTGACATCATAGTTCCTTGTCTCACATACACAAATGCACGAACGCCGTACTTGCCGCCGGACTTCTGGTTACACGCGACTTGCAATTTATGTGATCACTACCAGAAGCACCAGTACTACCGCCACGAAACGTACAATCTCACGTTACTCCAATGCAGATGGGTTGCGAAAACACTGCTTCGTTCTAGACTAGACAGACGCCTTTCACCACCTACTCGATCTATCTCTCTCCCCCGATTTCTGCTCACATCAGGCACAACAACGTTTGGACGCCAGAACCGACTGGATCTCGGTCTTCAAGTGAACTGTTTTGTTGTTCCGTCTTTTGATGCAAACACCAGCACGCGTCTACAGCAATCGCTGCCACCCGCCGCTGTCGCCAGTAGTAGAAAAATCAGCAACCAACAGGCATCCGAGTAGAAACTAGCGACATCGACCACTTCACTCACTCACTCTCGCTCGCATTCACGACAAACCAGCCGAACTTCACCCTGCTCTTACAATCAGCAACCGAAGGAGGAGGAACGACTACGAAATTCCGCCAGGTTCGTTTATTCATTCTTGGCCGTTGTCGTTGTCTAGCTGGCTGGCCCGCCCGCCCGCTCAGTAGCTTGCTCACTGACCAGCGCTTCGTGGTTCTTCGTGGCTCGATAGCAGCGCAGCTGTTCTCGGCTACGAGTCACCTCTTGACTCGATGCTCGCCTGCGATGGCGACTCTTTTGCAAACAGCAGCAGCTCGCAGAGTAGCAGCCGCAGCAGCGGAAGAACAGGGCTCTAGCGGCGGTAGCGCGAGCGTCTCTTCTCGCTCATGAGCGGTGAAGAAAGGGAGAGAGGAAGGGGAGTTGGTTGTGAGCACCAATCCTTCATCGGGGGGTTAGTGGCAGGGAAGCGACTGCACCAGCGGGAAGTAGCGCGCTAATACAAGGTTGGCTTTTACGCCATCGACAATATACACGCAAGGGTCGCTAGACCGTCGTCATGCAGACCAACCCTCAGCCGCTAAAGAAGAGGGAAAGAGTGAAAGAGACTAGACGTTAAATTCCAACTGCCTAGATGAATCGACTGCTCGCCTATGCTCTGACGACTTCCAGACGAACCGATCGGCCAGCCCTAGTCCAGCGCCACCGACATAGCAGACAGCAGCAGGATGCGTAGCATCGATTATGAGTTTGGCTATGGCGCACAGTCGTAGGCAGGCCCGTATGGTACGGTGATAGCGGTTGCAGCACTCGCCATCACCTAACGGACCAGTCAGTGGGCATCGCCCTAAAAAAACAGCGGTCAGACAGAGGCTGTTAGCACGAGTTTTTTGAGGGGTTACTCATTTTCGTTACAGATTTTCTCAACACAAAGCTTACTTAGATTGAGAAGTTTCTATGTATTAGAACACCATAGAAGTTTCCATTTGTCGGAAAAGTTGGGAAAGCCGCACGTAAGAAGTGTCGTTTAGAAGAGCTACAATATTCGATAACTAACATGCTGCTAACGGTGAACTATGGCGAGTGGTCGATCAGTTCCTTGCTTTCCGAGAGCAAACTGCCGTGCATCAGCTGGTCGCTGTATCCTGCCTTGTATGCTGCTTCGCCACGGCTGTATAGCAGCAGCAACAGAGTGCATTGCCTTGAGGTATAGATTGTAGTGACGGTAAAGAAGATCCAGCGGCGGGCATCTAGTCACAAGAGCTACTGCTCCTGACGAAGAGTGCTCCATAGCGCTTCTTACAGTGGTCAACAAAAAAGAGTGTAGTGCGGCTGACAGCAGAGGGTCGAAGTCGATGGTGCGTGGTAGCTAGCTGACTCGTTCAGCGAATAAGCGCCGGAACGACGTCGGCGACAGCAGTCAACAGCAAAAACCATAGGAGTGAGAACAGCAGTAACGTCTCGTGTGTTCTGTCTAAGAGAGCGCACAGCAACTGTAGAAACAGAAAGACATAGATGTAAACACACTCGTTGAGGTACACGGACATAGAACACAGAAAGCCATTTGTACAGAGAATCTAGTTGATACAGGGACTTCTGCACGGATTCACACGTACGGACGTAGGCATAGTCTCCCAGGCAAGCAAGCATATAGGTAGACTGCACCTACCCAGAGCGAGTGACCGTAACCAAAGCCTGTACTAGCAACAGCGCAAGTAGCATCTGAAACAGTGTTAAGAAATAGATTTCTATTGCCGCTTCATCTGATTGAGAGTGAACGAGTGAATGTATCCCAGCAAGCGAGATGAAGTGCTGGCCACGGTTCGCGCACCTTCATAATTCTATCAGACGTCTTCAACTCGTGGTTGTCGTCGTGCCCGGGGCTTGTGTCAGTTCAGTGAGATCTGAAGGTTGATGTTTATTGGTGTTTATGTGTTGAGCATGTGAGAGTGCCGCCCGTAGAAGGCGGAGGCCAAACGGCCGGTTTCGCCATGCCCAAAAAACAGCAACAAGCAGCACAGCAACATCAGCACCTCAGTACGAGTAACCACCAACTACCTCAGGTGGACACACCTAGCGCCAAACTCACAGGTAAGAAAATGCAGTGCACAGTAAAACAAACCTAACCTGCAGCTGATTCAGATAATCTTATTTTGCTATTCGCTCTATTTAAATATTGTCGTAAAATAAAGAACACCATCTTTCTTTTCTTTTGTTGCATTTCGTTAACAACCATGCGGCAGTATCGTAACAGGGGATACCGTTGTGACGACCCTGTTTCGATTTTTCTTGCGTTTTAGTTTTGGCAATATCCGACCTCGTTGTTTGGGCCTGTATATGTCTTGATACGATGGTGCTTAATGAGTGTGCTTACGGATTAGTGCCCATTTAGTGCAGGACGTTTGTGGATTTCGAATCAAGTGAGGGCAAATAGCCGCGTGTTTCGAACTATGGTCAGCCACACACTGAGCCCGCCCAACAGACTTACACTGCAAAAACCCAAATCGCCACACCTTGTTTCTCCGATTCCCGTTGTTGCTTATGGCGACCTGACTCGTTATTGCGGCCGTGGTAAGGTTCTACTCTGTTCCCCATAGGAGTGTAGTCTGCTTCCTATGCACACAATAAGCAGCGCCGGCTGCGGTTGTATTTTTTCTGCTGCTACTTCTACTGCTTCTATTAGAATGACTGGCAACGCATCTTTCAAAGCCGGATGTCGTCACTCCCAAGTGGAAAGAGAAACAGTGCTGTTTTCGAGTTATACTAACGCGGGCATACACAGCCAGGAATACTAGAGATCATCGTCGGGCCCATAGATTGTTGTTCGTAGTCCCTCCGAGACAAACGATCATCGCGGTAGTCGGCTTCGTGTGGTTGCCTCAATTCCCCTCGTGATAATATTGCATTAGCGCCAGTCTGGCCAACTAGACGATTCACGGCAAGATACGCTCACGCTCTTAGGAGCAAAACCACGAGAACGTCACCAAATGTTGTTACTTTTGTGGTTACCTTCTGGTGACTTTGGCGGTTAGAAACAAATAACCGTTTTCAAGTAATCTGACTAGCTAATATGCATTAATCAGACGATTGGATAACGAGCTGGAACTGATGTACAGCACATGTCCTGACAGTGGCAGTCCAATAAAATGGTGGCGACCGCTATTCTAGGTAAGTGCCAAACAATCGAAATACAGTTTTTAGCCATATACAAGTGTACTCCGTCGATTTACGCGCATGTTCGATATGATGTAATAGAATGCTCTTCCTAGCTTTGATCTACCGACCATGCGACGGAAGACAATATGATGGCGCAGTAACATTCATAAAACACTTGTCCCAATAACACGGTCATGCGCAGCCTTCGTTAACATTATTATAATAGTAGTGATCGTATACATGACGAGAAAGGCAGCGTTCGTCAGCAATGATAGCTGTTGTACATGAAGCTTTTCAGAGGCAATGCTCCCTGTGTGGATCCTTGCCAATACATGCGGCCTGATGGCTACACTGAGCGCCGCTGGCTGGGTCGCAGTCTGTAAAAATACGAACATAGAAACAACAAGGAAGCCAAAGCGGATAGTTTCTGTGTGTAATGGAAAAACAAGAAAAAGAAGGGTTTACATGGAAGAGAAATCGGGTAGTAAGTGACGGTGATGCTGCCGTAGTGCGACGCTGTGCAATCTCTGCTTCGTTACTACTGTGGAATTTCTGTACCTGTTCTACGAAAACAGAGCCATGACGATGAGACGAACGAAGAAGCCACAGAGGCAGATCGACTTCGTGATCATGCTTTTACATCTATATATCACAAAAATATCTGTGGTGCTGATGCTGCTCCTAGTGGCACTAGAAGCCAGAGAGCAACTATAGTTACGATTACTGCGAAAAGAAAAAAATTCAAAAGTGGATGGTGTCAACCCAAAATCGAGTTCGCAGTAACGGAATCTTCAAAGTATCGGGCAGAGCAAGTTGTCACCGTTCGGACCACATCTAGCCGACGAATATCGATGGGCAGTGAGTTACAAGAATTCGTCGAATCAAGTGGGGTGATGAAATATGTATCGATTTTTCAATTAGTCTATTTTATTTTATTAATCCTTTTTTACCTGTCACTGTATGTGTGTGAGAGAGTGTATGCGTATGTGCAAATATGCTTCTTTAATATGAAATATTGCGTGTCAGTGCGTGAATCGATCATAGGTTAGGTAGATGTAGGAAACCAACGTAAGCAAAACAGCTATTTAATAGAACAGCGTCGTTACTGTTCATCTTGCGCTGAGTTGGTAATTAACCTACCGAGAATACGCAACGTGCGTGAGCAGTCTGAAATTCGAACGACTCCCGTTGTGAAAGCTCAACTCTGTTAGAGGACTTGTCGTATCCTCAAAAGACTAGGAGTTTAGTGGCCGAGAGATATGCATATTGCTGAAAAGATTATTGGATAGTAGCTAGCATGAGTGTCAAAGCAGAAGTTCTGACATTTGATCTTAGGAATTTCAAAACAGGTGTTCAGTTTTTTAAAAAAAGATGTAAAACGTTAAAAATCATTTTGAGTTCAGATAGCCTGCTGACCGATAATTGCAAGTGATTTTTGTCATGTAGACTAAAATCAGTTTTACCATTTTGGAGATGGTTATATGTGCATGTAGTCTTTCTGCTGCTAGTGCTATGCACATAAAACTATTTTTTGAATGAGCCGAACGAAGTTATATAGTTTCTGCTTAGCTTGGTAGTATTACTTTTGTATATTATTTGCATCTCTATTAATAAGACTGACTTTGTACTTCGTTTCTATGTGACATCTAGCAACGCCTAGGAACCGCCTAGGCTTTATTGGTTGGTCCGACAGAAGAGGTGTAAGTCTCTTGATCGTCACGACAGGGATTCTCAGTTCGGTTAAATGGGGTACGTGGTTATGGCTTCATGACCCTAGATGAATCAGACAAATGTATTATGAGATATCATTACGATGTGATGCAAGTTATGCTTATGCCAATGATTTCGTTCGAATTTACGGAAGAACACGCACCACCGTTACCGTGTGTTTGTATTGTCTTGACAGGGTAACATTGTGACGACTTGTAACGAAATAAACAGAATACCTGGCGGGTTATTACATGGATGTAAAAATGTCATACGCTTTTGGTAAACTAAATAAAAATAGGTGCGAAAAAATGACATGCTTACGTCTCAGCGCATGACCTGTTAATTGCGCCATGTATGTGTACGCAGCATTACGGTTTACTAGCGGCAAAACTGACCTTCACCATATGCACTTGTATGCACCATTAATTGATAAGCGATATCAAAATATGGCAAAATATCTGGCAGAGTTGTACTATTGGCTCGTGGCCGGATGAGGGCCATGATAAGGTTTTGTGGTTCAATGGATTTTGCCCGCTTTCTAACGGATGGTGTTATTTACTTATGCTGATTATCTACCCCTTCATATCCACCTAAAGTGATACTTGCGACAATGTTTGCTTGAACCGATACAACGTTAGGAAATGTGTCGAGGAAAGGCTGCTACGTATCTTAGGCCTGCAAAACGGTACTAATGGCCATGTGGACGTGTGAAAATAACAAGCTAATTAATTTCCAATAGTAACTAGTGTACAAAATTGTGGGTCAACTCAGTCCAAGCATTCAGGTCCATATGTTTATGATGCCAATTCTAGAACAGAACACAATATGAACTTCTAAATAATATAGCACAAGATACGCTCTACATGCTAATAAGGACGCGCCCTAAAAGCAGCTACGTGTAGTGAATAACTGATGCAATGGAACAAACGTGATCTCAGACTAATGCTGTGTACCCAACGGAAAGGCATTGCAATAAGTAAAATACAAAAAGTACAAATATTACCTCTCAACCGTTAAGTAAACTGTTTCTTCTGGCCTTAAACATATTAAAAGAATTTATTAGCAGGAGAAATAGAACAAAGCCCATGCTGTTGTTGGAATCATGGTGATTCGCTGGCGTGTCCATCGCGCGAAGTACAATATTATGACGTAACCTTTTTCTGTTCGTCGGCTGGCCGATCGATGATATCCGCGCAAGGAGTTGGCGGAACGAAATATACATACGTATTACCAGAGCATTATTCTGTGGAGATTAACAGCCAGTGAGTTCATGCATGTAAGAAATACAGGGGGTAGTGACTCACGGAGTTATCAGCCGCAACGCCATAGAATGCAAACGAACATTCACGCAATTACATCGGTACACCAAAAATGGTAGTTTTCTAAGATGTGTTCCACTGACACATTGTAATCATGTTTTCTGCTCAAAGTCACCTTGTCGCCGGCGTCACGACGTTTGAGACAAAATAAGTAATAGAGAAGATCAGGATCGTGATAATCATGATGCTAATGTGTAAGGCAACGCTAAAAGCTGTAGAACTTTCCATGTTTGGTTTTTATATATTCATTTATGTACATTTATATATTGATATCCATGTTATATAGGCAGTGTTGGTTATGTTTCAGTGTGCTGCAATATTATGCATAAATGAGCAGAAAATGGCAAGGTATCGGTGTAATAACATTCCTCGATTAGATCATTTTTCTACTAATCTACTAGCAAATTGGCTTGCTTTGTGATGTTTGTTAACACCACCGCTAGCTCGTGGTAGGCTTGCAGACGCATAGACAGACGTGGTCGCACAAACGGCAATGCAGATTTCTCCTGATTCCGTAGTGGAGTTATTGGTCCAACGAAGTACCTGTCTGCCGGGTAGGCAAACATGCAAATTTTGCAAGAAAACTTAGGGTATTTTCACTATGACGAATGACATGTAATTGGGCATTGCAGGTGATCTACTAATTCTATGAGTTTAGGTGAAACGCATGTGTACCCGTGTGTTCTGGAAATAATTATGTGTGGGTATCACATACTTCTTCAGAAGGAAATGGGCCTCAGTGCACATAGACTACAGCAACAAATAGTCGATGGTGCACGTTAAATGATCATATCCCTTAGGAAATGAAAATTACATTTATGTCTGTGATATTAATTTTGTGGCGAAACTGACTTGATTTTAACAGAACGTAGATGGTGCTAAAAATCAGTAGTCATAACGACGAGATAAATAAACGAGAACCTTCTTAGACAAGATAAGCATGATTAGCATGATGAGAGGTTGATAATTAGCGGAAAGAGTTTGAGATCCACTTTTCACTTATATATTTATCACACACAGTCTGTCGCATTATTACTACGAGAAAACAGCAATACTCTTTCCAGTAGGAGAAAAATGCATTATTATTTAGATATTTGCAAGACAACTAGGCGTTCCGTAAATATGTATTTTTAGCATGGAAGTACACCGGTGAAAATACATTTTTATAAAAAAAAACTGGATTTTACATTTTTATAAGAGTAAATTACATCAAATCTGAAGTGTTTTTTTTTGTCTTGGCAAAGATAGTTGTACTCCTGGTTAAAGGCTGGGTAGGAATCCTCGTTATCCTCTATTTTTATTAATATTTGTTATGAATTCGCTGCTCTCCTTCACGCTTAGCAAATCTGACACATGCGGCCCTAAAGCAAGTATCGAAAAATACCATTATCTTTTGCATAGATCCAATAATCTGATTATACTACTCCAAATTTTATTAAAAAACTAAATAGAAGAGAAATTATTTTACGATACAGAGGGTATATAGGGGTACAATGATCTTTGACAGTATTTCGTTTAACATTGATCTTATCTCAGTCGTCAGCTCGTTATGCATTGCGAACATTCAATTATAATCGTTTAAAAAAATGGTTCGATAACCTGTTAAACCGATATCAGCGACCGAAGGTTGAAGGTTATAATAGTTCCTTTGCCTTTGAATTGGTTCAATGAATAGAACTTGGCTGTTTCGAAATGGGAAAGATTATACTGAAATAGCTACACAGAGCGAACGGTATTAGACCTCACTTTAGTAACAAATGATGCGTTTAGAATACAACATCATACTCTAATATTGAATCGAGGGCAAAATTCCTAATTCACACTTGGTACACTACGCTAGTGGAATCTTATTGTTCAGGCGTGCATAAACGAGAACTATTACATCTCCTCGAACCACTTGCAGCTTAATAAAGAAATGACATTTCAACTTAACGAACAAGCAGACGCTCGCAAGGCGTGAATCTTGGCACGAGCAGAAAGCGCCTGATATTGCTTGGGCAGGAAAGCCAAAAAGGCATAACACGAGAACGTAATTCTGGGCTCCGAAGAAAAGATTACCAGTCGCGCTAGAGTAAAGAAGTATCAAAGAAAGCTTTAGCGCTGTAACAAGGAGATCTGGTTCGCCTGCAGGGCGCTTTCCAGGCCTAAACAAAGCCTGACGAGGGCAAGTAGCTGATAATGATTAATCAAGGCCCTCTGAGGAAGTACCTAGGTTCCACAAAAAGGTTATTAAACGTAGTGACCGATTCTCTAATAAAGTTTTCTGAGCGGTGTTGACTGCTTGCTGTGGTCTGGGGTAACAGAATTTAATTGGTCAAATTCTTACGCATACATAATTAGCGTTCCGTTAAGATCTAGAACTACTGTGAATGCTACTTCACAGATGTATATACAACATAGATGTATATTATGAGGTGGTTCTTTACTATCCGCCTATCAGCTGATTAAATGCACTTCGGCTTAATGGTTACCGACACGTTTACGAAAGCATTTGAGATTAGATTCTTTGTAGTTGATTTTGTCTGTGACTAAGTATGTGTGGTCAATAATGCCTATGGTGAAATAACATTTAGATCTAATAGAAAATGTAAAAAATTAAAAATCAGTTTAAGCAAATAAAAATGTTCGAATGTGGAACACAAGTTTGCGGTTAGTTGGAGACATGGAACTTCCTGAAAGGAGACAAGCACGGCTTGCATATTTCGCATACAACCATAGATACGATACGTATGTATGACACGAGAAAAAAATATCAACGCATAATAGTTGCGTATCACATCATTGCCTGCCATGGTACAAATTTGTCTTGCGATCACAGGAAATAAAACATGACTTTATTTATGGCCGCTTAGTATTATGATTACGTATTAATGTTGTAATGGATTATTTGCGTGTAAGCAAGCAGGTTTTGTTGAAACGGCATGTCAGAACCATATTTGCCATGATGCGAAAAGCTTTCTTCAATCTGCTCTTGTTCACGTCTCCTTGTCGTCATCTGCCAGGCGGCTTGTTGTTTCTTATAAGGGATGTCACATACATGTGGATCTGTTAACCTGGTGCAGTCAATCAACGACCATTTGTCGCGCTGGTTATCTTGGTGCAATGGATTCGTTGGGCCCCAATAAAGGATAGTAGGAGCGACCACGACATTGCAGATGCAGTCAATAGGATCGCTGCTGCTGTTGTTGTGGCTATAACCATATGACAGTCAGGATCTGTCTGCGTGACTGAGCGAACACGGAAGGTAACACTGGAATATTCAGGCACAATATCCGTAGATACTGAAGGGTCAAACTTACAGCTGCTGTCAGTAGCGAAACGATGTCTTGAATGTCATCTATTTACATTTAGTGACACGCAGATACGCAAGAACTCGTATACAAGACGGATTTTCATTGCTAACGAAGCTCACCAAATTCACGGCGGCCATGAGATAGCGGCACCCAGTACTATTACAACCAGCGGACAGACACAATCAGCAGACCAATGGCAACACAAAAAACCACTTTCAAAAAAACCATCAGTTTCCGGCGATTCAGAACCGGCCGGCTTTTGGTCGTCCATTCGCATAGCCAAACACTCGACAGCTTAGCCCATGTATACTGGTCTGTGCTCATCTGAGTGACCGAAGCAGTCGAGATACGATCGACAGCGACGATCAGGATGAGTGGCATCAGTTGTGCGATTGTGCGATAGAAGAAGCGAAAGCAGCAGAGCTTTGTTAATTGTGTCATTCAATTTGTCGTTACTATTACGGTACTAATACAAATGTGTATACTAATATGCTAGACGAATGTTTACAACAAATATACGATAGCTGTAACAAGGCTGTTATCTATTGCGTTGTAGACTTTAGCTGCATAGTGATATGGGTCTCCGTAACGTGGTCGTGCGATGATAGCTAACTTAAAAGTGGACGGCGCATGTCTTAGATGTCTTAGGTGCATGCACTCTAACCCAGCTTCTAAGCCTACATTCTCACATGGCGATGAAGTAAGGATTTATGCAATACGCTATAAGCCGTCGCACCTATTTGATTAGTTTTGCAACCACTGTGTTGTATGTAAAGTTCACAGATAGTTTTTTTGGATCCTTATTTTTTTCGAAAGAGAGTACTTACATGGTTGCTGATATAGGCCGTAACATTCATTGGATTAGACGATCTTTAATAATAGTATAATATGTCCTGTACATTGTGGTTGGTAGTTCTCAGTCTAAGTTCACTAGCGAAAATATCTCTGAATTCTCAGCTGAGCTCGACGAAAGAGCTCTTTTTCAATATCCTGCCATTATTCAAAAGGTTCAAAACTTGACTGCGCCTATTGCTATCGCTAACAGAATAACTTGACCCTTCGTGCTAACTTTCCTTTTAGAGCGAGCGTGGAAAGGCGGAGGCCGGCTTGCGCGGCGAGCCCGGTCCTTCAAACAGGAACTTGTCGGGAGGATCAACCAGCTGCGCAGTCCAGGTAACCTCCGACACCAGCCTCCAGCATTAGGCCACAATTCTAGTAAGGACGGTTCGGGACACCATTTAGGCGACGGCGCATACGCTGGAGATTCTGGACACTTGCATCGTCTCACCGACTCTTCTATCGAAGAACAACCTCATTACGATGCTGCACAAAAGGTAAAAAAACTATATATCTGATTTTTTGTCCCTTATTTTACCGTAGCTTTTTTTGCGTCTAATAAGCACATGCGTTTAGATACGAGCAACAACGGATTTACTCATTTATAGACAATACAGTATGACGATTAGTATCTAGTATGTATCCGATGCTGCTAAAGCTAACAAATGACGAAAAAAAAATAATGTAAATCTTATATTGAGACACAAAGATTTTTACATTTTTGCTGGAACAGGTCTGCAGTCTCGCGTATCCGTTTATATCGTAAACCTATCTAATCGTTAAAACAGTATTATTACTGCGTTTAATAATTGCTATTATAAATATAATAATAAATTTGCTATTGCATTTTTTTTGCTTTTAACGGGTAGAAAAAGCCATGAAGGGAGTTTTAGTTCGTACCGAGTTGATATATAATTTGGTTATAAACAAGGGCAAGGGTAAGTTTGTGGTTCATAGGAGGGCCTAGCTAGGCTTCGAAAAAGGGAAACCAGTAACATGTATATAGCTGAAACAGCGTTTCTTTAACTACAGAGATATTTGTCTCGCAACTGTAAACTTGCTGTTCCTCAACTACAGTTGCAAGCTTACCCTTACCCTCCACTCCGTATATTATACATATATGAACATATTCGCTTCTACATGGAAAGAAGATCCGTCAATCTAAATTGAGCCATAAAAAATGTTTGAACTAAATATGCCAGGTGAGACCTGTGATCTCAGTTTCTTTGGTAAGATAGTTTTGTTGTTTGTAAAGTACGCAATTTGTCACTTAGAGCTTGCTTAAAGATATGTTGAACAACGACATTTGTAATGTGCCAGTGAGAGAAAACCGACGCCTTATCTTTTTAAAGTCTTTTGACTCGGTTTCTCCGTATCTCTAGCCTGATGACGAAACTAAACATGTCACCAAAATTGTGACAAAAATATGTACTATCGATGCAGATTTATCCATGATATCGTCGATCGCGTTTGATCTGGTGCTGTTGAACTTGTCGTTATTATCACCTTTTAAGATAAGTCATTCCCATGTGCCCCATATATTGACCATAGATATCTAATCGTAGGCAGGTTAACCAAGTTATAAAATCGTGATGCTTTTTCACGATTAGTTAATAACCACTTCTATTTTCTTTTGACACGTGGCTGGTTTTAGTAGCTCTTAATACCTACAGTCGTTTCAATTTAGTCATAGCCTCTAAGTCAAAGAGCAGTTTAGTCTGCAGAATAATTCGTCAGTGCTATCGTGATAAGCACCTTCTTTTCTCTTTTCTCTCTTTTTTTTTTTTTTTTTACAAAGCTAAAGGGTAAAAGCTTAATTAGAAAACCTTGCGTCTAGTTTATGTAATTGGTACTATAGAACTCACGCGCACTAAAACTCTTAATTTTGGTAACTAGGGTTACCTGGAACTATTAGACTGGTATTACCTCGAGCCATTTCTAGTAGCCCAACAGTATCAAAGGGCCTGTGAAGATTTAAAGGGATTCCCTTTTCGACTGAAGGGATAGTGATTAGTGAGCCGAACTTCTCAACGTCGTTTTTTCCCTAGCTGGTGGTCATAGTACACATCACGAGTTACTGATGTGACGTGGAGCTCACTATTACTACTACTTTCCCCCTTCTCAGGACCTTCGAGTACCAATTTTGATACCAATAGGAAAATTTATATTAGGGTCTTAATGACATTCACATATACTTCTTCTGCTAGAAAACGTTTGGTTAGGTGATGTCCCAAGTATAAATTACACCTAACCTTTCTAAATTCTCCATAGCCGAGGTTCAACGGTTCCCCCCCAGGCAGGCATCAATACCGCTATAAAACAGCCTAACTAAGAAGCGAGACTAACTATGTCCGTTCGCTGCGGGTCTAATTGCGCCGGTTTACTTCACTTCCTTCATCAAGCAGTTGAAGTAGTTTAATGGAGAAACCGGATGCTAAATAGAGTCCGTCACTAGTGTTATGGTATAATATTAAAACTCACTATGTTCTTCGTGTGGTTATCTTTAAATCAGCCTCGAGAGGAGTGTTGTTCCTTCGAGTAGAACGGGGTTGCACGGAAGAGAAAGGTGTCGAATCGGTAACCTCTTTCATTGTTTTCGTCATATCTTTGAAACAGTGAATTAGGCAAAGCGGGCACGGGGCAAAGTCCATGGCATATAACTACTATTTCTTTTCGTATATATCCAAAAGAAGAAAGCTTGCACATATGCAAGTGAATTGTAATCAGCAGGACAAATTATATTCACTGCCGCTGACCAAATAAATATCAAAAAGAAAGTATTGAGACGTGTTAATTGTAAAGTGGTAACGCTACTTGCAGGTAAGGATCCTGTGATAGAAGCGCAGCCCAACATAGTAGGGCTATTATACTGGATGCTGTTCAACAACACATCTCATGCCCACCTCGATAAATTGTCGTAAATGTCGTAAACCTAAATGGAGCCAAGCTGGCCGAACATATGAACGAGAATGGGCAATGTAACCTACACCTATGCTACAGGGACTTTCTAAGAACCCAGCAAACGAAGCTGTTACTAAGCCTAGAATGATAAAGTAATGCAAAATGGTCAAATGAATCTACTGATGCACCATGGCGGTTTTCTTTTTTACTGTGATTATTATGCTTTCACTTTGTGACGTTTATTACAAATTTAAGGCAAAGTAGAGCAATGTAGTGTTATTAAGACTATAACATTATGTATTTCCTAATCATGACCTAATTCGACGTTGGATTGTTAAGATATATAAATAAGTGTATAAACATTACGTTCTTAACATTACATTTATCAGATGCTGCGTCATACTGGTTATTGCGTTGAGCTCAAGTGTGACTCGTTAATTTAAGTTAATATAATATGTATTGTCAGCCTTGAGATACGTCGTTTCGGTTGCAGCAGATAGCGGAGTGGCACACTCCAGTACTCTCTCGCGAAGGTTCGTTGACATTATTATTATTTATTAGGACTAGGTAGAGTGCAATTAAACTCCCATTTGGTTTACTTAATTCAGTCTGTCTAAAAACCTACAGTCTTTATTCCATTAATTAAAGTTAATATTACTCTCAATAATTATGTGACTCTTACAACAAGATGGCACCTTTGAATACTTTGTTTGAACCTAATATGTTTGATGATGATGTGGCTGATGGAGAAGCTAGTTGTTTTCTAGACAATAAATCAGTTTTGTAGACAATAAAATAAAGTGATTTTACTTTAGTGTGCTTTACCATAAGCATCAGCATCCATAGATTATAATTATGATTCTATGCTGACGTAGGATGATGGTGAGGGAATCTTTTGGTGATAGATAATACATTAAAACTGACTTGTCGTTTTGATTGATGAAAGATTTGTCGTTTGCCATTTTTAAGGGGCTGAGTTAATGAATATCTACTTAACCTCTTAGGATGGCCAATAACTTTGCCTAATGATAATAAGTTTGCCTAAAGTGAAAAAACGTAAGCGTATTATATAATTGCGTAGTTTTTTTTCTATAAAGTGAATTAAACCCATTTAACGGCTGTTATGATATTTCCTCAGTGTCAATAGTGTGTCAGACTATATGATTAGATCGCTGAAAGGGATGGTAGCCTAAAAAAAAATGAGAGTGCAACGTCATAATTAGTACAATGAGCGTAATCATTATTATTAAGCTGTTTGACCTGTGACGATTTCACAATGCAAATGAATATTTGCTGATAGAGCTCTGTATCGTTGTTGCGCATCTGTGTACTTGTGATGATCCCAACGTGCGTAATAAGGCCGCAGTAATCAACACTGATTCACCGTCTAATACGAGCTGTACCTTATCCATACCTATTGGCAGTGATGCATTTAATAAGATGATTAATTCCCATAATCACGTCTTTTCTAAGAGAAAAATCAATCCGTATGGTGTATACTAGGGGCTTATGACGAGCGGTACAATAACGTAGTGCTCGTCACTACTTCTCTTCACACATGGCGGTAATGACTATCCTGTAATCGTGCTTTACTGTTATTTTCGTTTGCTACAATTTCGTTATGATGATTGTGTGCTTCGCGTCCAGTCAGTAGTCTCTTGGTACCTTGTCACATTATATTTTTTTGTCCAACGTATTGAAAAGAATTTAACTTAACCTTTGGACGGCGAGGTCTGAGTGGCTAATAGACATCGTTCTAGGTGCGGTTCTGACCATGAACAACATACATACTGGCGATTACTTACTCAGATTTTAGTGTTGGCGCATGAAAACAAAGGACCCATGAAAAAAAGTTGAAAAATTAGTAACTATGGGAATTTTTGATATGGTGACCCTACTATTTCGTAAGTCCGCTGGAAAAAAATCCCGATAAAGCAGGATCTCTGGCCATCTTCGAGTAGCTCTGAGACATAGTAGTGTTTATACCAGAACTTATAACACAATTGTGTGTCTGCCGCCATGCGCAAGGGTAGATGGTCTTCGAATAACTTTGGCATTCGAAACACGGTACCGCTCGTCGGCCACAAGAAAGTTTATCATACAAATATAGTGCACTTCTCTACGCTAAAGTATGCCAAGTAATTAATACGTAGTAAAATTATATTGTAGTCCCTCCACAATAAGACAGCATCTTTCAGTAGCACGAATTGTTGGCGTAAGTAAGCGCGAGTAAGTGGCGAACGCCATGCGGCGAAACCAACGATCTGCTGCGATACGAATACAAAATTTAAATGCGTCGATGCAATAACATATGTATCTTCAGGAAAATCGACGAAGTAGAACGCAATGTAATGAAGTGTTATTCATTCGGTATCGTTTAGGAGGCAGCATCGATATCTCGTGATCTTCGGGATGTCCAAAATGCTTGCGGCTACTTCAAGGATTGTGTGGCCAAAGGTATACTGGACATGGTACCGGGAAGTGCATCAGTAGTACTCGAAACCGTAATACACTTACTAACGTTACTCAAAAAAAAGAACTTTGCAAGCGATGACAGGTCAGTACCACTAACTTTGAGGATGTTAGTCTTTTATCAACTCGATTCCAATTTCTCTATATCAGTAGGGTTGCGCATTACGGTATGACCACACGTTCAGTTTAGTAAATATAAATGGAGCAGTAAGAACAACTTAGATCTGCATTAAATTAATGTCGAACTCAATGTTCTGTGGTATACGATAGAAGTATTGCATAAAGACTCTGTGTAGCACATTAGAAAGCAACGCGGAATATAATGTTAGTTGACAATAAACTTACAGGAATTAATTTCCAGTACCGTTTTAAAAGTACTCTAATTGAAATCGAAGTTTTTTTGCTCCGCTTAAAAGGTTTACTATGTTTGCAGAATGCTTTAATACGATCCATTATAGCTGACCTCATGAGTGTTTGCTATAGCAAGCTCTGACCTACTACGAACCTCTTATAATTTTCGATGACGGTAAAGGAAATTATTGAAGGTATCGCTACCCAATAACCCATAGCTCGAACAGCTCCGGATACTCTTAAATTTTCCGTATATTGAAAATAAATTGCTTTTTGAATTTGAAAGTATTGCGCACAAGAAATTGACCTGGCAAGATGTTCCTTACAGTTCGGTGTTACAATCACGCACGAATCGAGTGCACGGTTGCTTGTCTGAGCTGCTTGAATGGGCCGACAATGTGATGCTGCGCAGGGAGGAAGCCTCTCTTTTAGCAGCCCAAAAGATCATTCTTTCTCTTCAGGGGGCGTTATCAGCTCTTGTAGAGTATTATGGCACTAAAGACTGCAACAATGGGAGAGCTTCTGGCGCTGGTGCAGTTGGTACTGCGCGTAAGCTCACTTCGAGACCCGCAACGGCCAACGGGCTCTGTCACAGCAAAAGTGAATGGTGCGTGTCCCTCAGGTAGAGCTTTAGTATAATATTTTGAAACAGCTTGATCATGGGCTATTTTCGGACGATGCATTACAAAAACCTGGCTTAATTAAGCTGCTTGTCACAGTCTTTGATAATTGGCCTTTGATGGGGTGCTGAGAACATTTTTATAAGTTTTTTTTTTTAAATTAAGAAAGATAAAAGAACAACAAGTGAAGTTGACAATTCGATAGATATATCTAAAAACAAATATTTCTGATGCCGTTGTTGCAGTACTACGTCTGGTAAATGGAGATATTTTTTCTTGCTAACCAGTGAAAACGGGAATGCAGTTAATATGTCAAAAAAAAAAAACAACAAACAGTGGTCAACCAATTTATTCATAAATATTTTGACCTATCTGAGTTTATTTATATGAAGCGCCATAATTACGCTGGTAGCACGAATAGCGTAAATGATAGAGCGGGATAGTGGATGACGTTGGACGTTTACGTAACGCAATTTGTACTTTAAGGATAATTTCCTAAGTAGCGGCATCGATCACGAAATGAACTTCAGTCATTTATTTATTTCAATCATTCTTTCAATATAGTTCCTTTTCAACTGCTTTTATTGTTACATTTATAGATCATTCTTGTAATAGGATATCAGTTAATTTCCTATGTAATCTTGCTAGTAGCTCTATACGGTCTATAAGCTCAAGATATTAAATTGTTTCTAAAAATTGCAATTCGTTTTATTAAGTGTATTTTAATTAAAGTATACAATGCAGAATTTTAGAAATAATATGTCGATGTGACATGTTGTGTTTATCATTAAATTAATATTATTAACAGTTCTATCCAGTAAATCATAACGACTACAAATATATTTAATAGGCATTTCTATTTTGTTGTCTCAGTGCTAACATTTCAGTAAACTCCCTCCCGGATATCCCATTGACCCCCCGTGAACGCGAAATTCTCTCTTCAACCCCTGGTGCCGGTCCTCACGGAATGTCTTCCTCAACGGACGATATTCTAACCCCACCACCGAAACCACCATTGCCATTTGCATCGTAAGTTGAACTAAACATTATAGTATCAAAGCTATGCAAGAAAGCTATTTTGTAGTACCTTTGTTTTAAACTGAGGCATATGGTTAAGAGACCCTTCGAAATATTTGACTGCGGAAATAGCGACTAATTCCATCATTATAAATGATTCGGAGTTATTCACTTACAACACTTTGCGTCCTTTCTTTAACAGGCTGGACTCGATCGACTCAACTGTTCCACCACTTCCGCCAAAAAAGCGATCCACTTCAAAGGCGTTTCTTGAAGCGCCATCATTTTCCTCATCATTTAACGATTGGCTTTCACCACTTTCATCACCATTGTCGCAATCACGAGCATCTAGCGTCGATTGCATAGACCGCTCGGAAGATGACCTTTGGAGTAGCCTACCAAACAGTTTTGGCGAGATGGGATCGCACAATCCAAATTTGAGCTTTACATTTAGCTCTGTTCAGACGACGATGGTGAAAAAGTCTTCGACGACGACCAAGATGTGTAGAAGCGATTCGATTGAACATCTGATCTCTCAAGAACTCAACGAAAGTGGTGCCTCGTTCTCAACGGTCACTACTTTGCAGAATGGTCAGACACAAACTAAAAACTCACTTACAACTTATAACAGGTAAGCGTACAAAGCAGCAGCGCAATAGCAGCAAAGTAGCGTACGTAACATTTCGAAACGATCGTCGAACGAAACGATCGATGAACTCCCTGAGCGTTTTGCACAAGTAGTTCTTAACGGGTTTCTCTTAACTATATCCCGCTCGCTTTTAATTTCCCAGTGATGCTTCTTTACGCCAGTCTGTAATTGATAATCGTGTAATAGTAGAATGGTGCTTAGGCTGGACCTATTTAAAATCGGAGACAATATTTTGGGACAGATGATGGAACCTAAAAGTTACTGGTGATTGAATTAGACTAATTGTCATTCTTAATTTGTCAGGACGGACCAATTGGAGGACATTCCTCCCGCACTACCGGCGAAACAGAGACGTACGCCGGGCGAAAGTCCAGCCGCGGTCGGTGGTCGGCTCCCACGAGTACCCTCGCAGTATGACAATGTCTTACCGCCACTAACGAACGAAGTAGCCGATGAAATCACTAGAAAACTAGAACGAGTGCAACTCAGAAATAATCCCCGTCAAACATCGTCGATGTCCCAACCATTAAGTGAAGTGCCACCTCCACTGCCACCGAAACGGCGAACCAGTAAGTCTGACGGGCAGGCCCGTTCCCGGCTAAGCAACTAGCTCATAATTAACGGAGACCTTTCGCCAACCAGTGGATTTACGTTAGCTGTCGGGAAACTTCTTTAGGGACACTTTGTAGTACAAATGTTGTTTATTGCCCATCTTTAGTAATCGTATCTTGGTAAAATAACAGATTCATACCAAACGGCACTAACGTTCGACCTTCCCGCATCTTCCTACTTTTTTCACGTTTGTTTTTGCCTTGCGGTTCATTTCAACCCTTTATTATGATGTTGTTCCATTATACAGTTCAGGCATATATGCAGACATTTGGGCCGATACCAGTTCCATCGGAAGGAACGCTCAATGTCGTGATACCAGCTGGCAAACAAATGATGTCGCGGGTCGAGCGTATGGAAATATTCTGGGATGGATCACTTGCTGGTCAACGGCCAAAAGAGGAACAATTTGAGCAGGGATCACCGCCAGCACTTCCACCGAAACGGCGGCTAGATAAGGAAAACCCATCCGGTACATCAACACCATTACCATCTGTCATTTGTACATCAACTAACAGTTTATCTCCACTGTCGTCTAGTACTGCAGGCCTAATCATCGAAGAGACTGCAAGCATACCGAACACGACAGCTACGCCACTTGATAGTCACGTCAGTATTTGCCGCTTAACTTAAACGCATATAAAAAACTACATTCAAGTTTCCATAAGTGTAACTGCCGTCAGATTAGCTTCCTAACTAGACTAACATATTCTTGACTAAGCGAGGTAGCAAAAGAAGCACTTCTTTTTTATATTCATCGATCTTGCAAATATATCTTATAGATAACATTTACACATGTAGATACGCAAATGTGTCCAAAAACCAAGTTAACCTATTGTCCCCAGTATCTTAAAAACCTGAAATAAAAAGCTGGTTCATTGTTGTTAATGAAATGATGCGCAAAAGTGCACCCAAGTTAATATTTAAATAGCAAAGAAAAAGCGCAATAGGAAATTTTTGCTTGCGTGTCAACAAGACTTAAATGTAAGCTATACGGATGAGTTTGGCAGTGATTTTCACTGATTTCATTTTCTTCATGAGGTACATACAAGCTTCTTTCAACAATACGGCAGCATTCCAGCAATGCGGTTAGCCTTAGCATTAATGACCGCATTGTCGTCAAATATAAACAGAAAGCTTTTTAATATTGCGTTCCCAGACGATACCAAATGATTATCAGAAACTTTCTGAGTTTGGTTTGATACTAATTGTCGGTGCCTTTAACTGCTAAAGTATGATGCTTAACCCATGTGCTTACTTGTGCTGCCCTGTTGAAAAGTCAGCAAAATTTTTATGTATAATTAGCAATGGTTCTAGAGCTAAAAAAACAGCCGAATCTCAATCTTGGCCCATGCAGGACGGATCGCAGCGAGATACTTGCGGTAAGTTTATTAGCAGTCACGGGACTGGATTTTCAAGGACGAGCCATAAGTCTCCAAATATTCGATATCTGTGTTATCTATCAAACTATTGCGCTTAAAGCCTTCAGTTAAAAAGGCGGAGTTGAGTTACGTAATGGACACACAAACACGCATATACGAAAGGACGTATTTTAATAAAGACGCTGTCGCTTTTAGAGATGTAATCGAAAGAGGTAGCGGAATTGTAAGCCGTCGTCGCTAACTGTTGAGCTGTCATTTTTATCAGTTTGTTTAGAGTACCGGCGCTATACTTTGCCAGCGACTGGAGTCTTTGATGAGCGTTACTGCCAAATCGACCTAGGCACTGAGCACTGCACTTTCACTTTGGTTAACCTGTTTGGTGTCGCTGAACGATGTATACAGCATATGTAGGGTGATTCTAGTCAGAGGCTAAAATAAGCATGTTGGTTCTATTTTTTGATCCTGCATGTTCTATAAAATTGCTCTCTTATATTGTGCGTATAGATTAGTTGCTCACGTCGCTACTGCCCATTGTATCGTTTTTAGGTGAACGACTCAGAGAATTGCGGGAGTGTCAGTGGGGTCCCTGTTGTCGTCGAGGTCGAGTGTCCCCACAAAGAAGAGGATAGCGGCGTTGTGGATAACAGTGCGCCTAACTCTAAGGAAAATACTCCTCCGTCGAGCCTTGCTACAACTCTCCAGGAATCGTCTTTGTTAGGCTCGACGGTGTCAGGTCCTGTGGCTAGTGGCGGCAGCGGCTCTGGCGTTAGCGGGCCAGTAAGTGTTGACATTATGGAATGCATTGAAGTTGAGCCATTCCTTGTGTTTTCCGACTCCAAGGATGACGTCCTTCGTGGCCTCAAAGGGGGCCCGCCGGACGCATTACTTGTCTATGCCACCAAGACTACTGATGACAAAGGCCGGGACTTTGTAGTGCAAGAGACTTTCCTCACGACCTATCGTTCGTTCATCCCTGCCCAGACTTTGGTCGAAAAACTCATCTCGAGGTTAGTTATATAAGATATCAAACCCACTCGTTATTATTATGCGGTTAAACGAAATGTCTGAACTATCTGTATCTTTTAACCATGTCTTTAAATAGGTCTCTGAAGCCTGAAATGTATTTTAATCACTTCAATTTACATAACATTATATTACTAGGGCATATTTCTTAGGTCTTTCTCTTGAGAAATATAAAAATCAGTTTTTTTTTGCAAACTATGTCTTAAACTGCTTTTTCAGCTTCTGTCTTGCTGTCAGCTAGAATTGTTATTTTCAATGACTGACATATCTAGTTATTAGAACTTTAGCCTTTAACTTTATCGACTTTAACTCTATTGATTTCTATGTTTTTTGTCGTTTTTTTTTGTTATAATTTGAACCTGTGTCTCTATCGACGACACCAAATTTTTTTTTCATTTCACTATGATACTAGGTACGACTGCCTCATCCAGTTCAGTAGCGATCCGGTGCGTTTGAAGTACGCGCGCAACTCGTTTAGTCTCCTGGTCCGTGTAGTGGATGACCTCTGTTTGAGTGATGCTACTGACGAGCTGCTTATCGCGCTCACACACTTTACGCACACGTTACTGCTGCGTGGAGATCTTAGTCTGGCAAGGTAAGATGAAATGTACAGGGCATCGTTTACAGTAATTTTATCGATTGGTCGTATTGTCGTAAAGTCGCTAAGTTCGGTTAAATGCCGTTGAGCAGTTGTCTTTTTTGTATAATCGATACGACAAACGCAGGAGAAAATTTACTCTTTTATGACTACTTGTTTATATATATATATATATATAATTGCTTATTGATAAGAACTTGACACATACATGAAAAGGATGGACTATTCTTTCTAAAAAATGTTAACTTTTTTTACAGATTAGGTATTTTGCATATACACACGTGTGCTTTTATATTTTTCTAATGCATCTGTTGCAGAATATTGTAAGTATCTATCAACGAGTACAAATATTCAACTTGAATGATACAAGTTATTTTATGAAACTATCGATTATCTTGCTTAAAATACCTATTGAAATGTTCCAAATTTTTGTTGTGACCATCTTGGTAGCTTTCCGATTCTGATTTACTCTTTTATATGTAAGAAACAATGTCAAGCGTCGTTTTCTATCTTATGTACACGTAGCCTCAATAGCTGTACCCCATATTCAGCTATGAAATCTAACGTGCGATATCAATTGTGGCGTTCAATGTATGACTTGCAAATCCCGCGTCGTAACGTAAACTCTCCATAAAGGGCGTTACGTCAGAAAGTCGTGGAGAAGCATAGTGCTCGACAACGTGCGCAGGAGTGCGTCCTTTACGCGAATCTAAAGGGTGTAGTCCTCTCTCGAGGTAACACACTACTTTCGTTCAAATCGGAGGCCCTGGCGCAGCAGATGACCTTACTCGACAACGAGCTGTTCCAGAAGATCGACATCCCCGAGGTACTTATCTGGGCAAAACAGCAAAATGAAGAGCGCAGCCCAAACCTGACCCGTTTCACCGAACACTTCAATAATATGAGCTATTGGGCTCGTAGTTGCGTTCTTCAGCAGACCGATCAGCGAGAACGTGAGAGGTACATTTTCGCAATGAATACTCGTTGAATGATTGTTAATTGAGGCAATTCATTATTGTATTATAGCATTGTGTTGTTATTAACATCAACATGAAATGTGTCAAATTATAGTGTGTTTAGTAACAACTCTTGTGTTCATTTTGCGTGTTCCACAGGTGTGTAATAAAGTTCCTGAAGATGATGAAGGCGCTCCGACGGTTGAACAACTTTAACTCCTACTTGGCGTTGCTGTCAGCTCTGGACTCCGCACCTTTGAGACGTCTGGACTGGCAGAGGGCCATAGTCGAGGGGCTGAGAGAGTTCTCCGTGCTCATCGACTCTAGCTCGTCTTTCCGAGCCTACCGACAGGCTGTTGCTGAAACACAGCCTCCCTGTATACCCTATATGTAAGTCCAAGTAAACCACTGGTATTGCCCAGAAAGCAAATCGTGTGATTTATTATCGCAATTTGACCGGGTAGTTCTTAGCTGTAGCCTTGACTGCATTGACTTGTTCTCTATTTAAATAGTATTATTTAGACGATTTTTGTCAGATTACAGCAGATATTACTTAATCGCCGTTTCTTATCTATTTTAGTGGCCTGATTCTTCAAGACCTTACATTTGTCCATGTGGGCAACACCGACTACATCGAATCGAACGGAACGCAGATCATAAACTTCTTCAAGTGCTGGCAACAATACAATATTCTCGAACCTATGAGGAAGTTCAAGAAGAAGTAAGTTTATTGCATAGAAAGATTACAAGTACTCACTTGTACAACGAGCAGAGCTTTTTTTAGCTCTACTTTAAATTGATAGAAGGACCTGTAGGTATTTTTTATCCCAAATTGGCTTCTGGGAACGAAGCAGCTACATTTAAAAGTGACAAAGGAATTATAGTCTGAGGGTCGAATGTAATGCAGATGGAATTATAAAATAGTCATGTTTAATTTATTCCATTTAACTAATAATGAATCTCCGTTAGATATAATCATTCGCTCTTGTATTTTTCTCCTTAGGCCGTATAATATTCGGCGTAACGACGAAATTATTGATTTCTTTAATAACTTCGAAGACTATCTGTCCGAGGAAGCTATGTGGCAAATTTCGGAGACAATCAAACCTCGAGGCAAGAAGTAACCGATCATTGAAACCCGTCCACCTCTGAAAACCCGTGCGTCGTCTGGACAAAGTGACAAGTATGTGTGATTAAGTTTCAGCGAAACGCATCGCGTGACTCATATCTACATGTATACCCGATATCTACATGTATACCCGTATGGCTAGTTGTCCTACTGCAAAGTTCGATATACGTCGACAAGAAACTGCCGAACTGAGAAAACGGCTTTGAGATGATGATCACGGAAAAGTATACGATTCTGAACAGTCAGATCTGATACGCGTACGTTTGTGCGGTGCAAGACCTTCTCTCGAGAAGAACGAGGTGCGAAAGTTGTCGGAACAAGTGATAACGAGGGCCGCCACCACCATACTGTCAAAACATAATGTAATACAACAAAAAAAAACAAGTATTATTACTACTACAAACAAACAAAACCAGAATATAACGCGAATCAGAGACAAAACGAGAAAATCTAAGGGAAACGACCTACATACATACACCGACACCTATTTATATAGGCAATATAATCTAAACATATGAGGCTCAGCCCACGCCTACAATACGCATTATATATATATATATATATATATATATTTCAGTACAGAATAATCTAGACAAAAAGGGGAGTTGAAAGAGGGAAAAGAAAAGAGAGAAGGAAAAGAAGAATATAGGGGGCTGGAGGTGGCCAGAGCTACTCTATATATTTTGTTAGCAGCAGGCCGGTAAGGTGCGGTGCTAGAGGCCACATAAGCTAATTATATATACACACGTAAGACTATATATATAGTGTACGAGGATAACAGAGAGAGAGCGTTATTGCTATTAATACTACTAAACCGATCGCACTATCCGTACTACTAAAGACCGTAACATACTAAGGCACGTGGTCGCATGCGGCACTCACATTGAAATGGTGAAAATATGCTGCTGATAGTGACGAACAGAAATAGATAATGATAGAGACAAGGGGACGTGCATGTAAGTGATTATATTTAGCCTAATTAAAAGGCGATAAAGTCGAATAGGTCGGTTGTTTGGGCGTTGTCCCTAAGTTTGTTTAGCAGCTTTGCTAGCACGGATCGCCTCGTCAATGATGATATGTGTATCCTTGTGGTGATAGTTGGCGCTGCAGCTTTACTGTGCTTCATTTCTGCTGCTGCTGTTTTCTGTTGACTGCGTGGCCCTTGAAAGAGGCTCGCTTAATTGGTAGTGTGAATTGACAAAGAATATTGCGGCGTTGCATTTCGACGGTAATAGAAAAATAGTACAGCGTCGCATCGGTGAACTAAGCCTACGCAGCAAAGGTCAGCTGGAGTAGGTCAATTTGTTCAGATTTTAGCGTTATTTTGTAAAACGACAAAAATCATTTTATTTGGCATGGCACAAGCATTGTATTTGGCGGAATTCGTATCTGTTCCCACGTTTAAGTTAATCAAGTTTCATGATCTCGTGCAATAAGATAAACTAATGAATGCCCATATTATTAACGTCATCAGTATCATACATCTTGCAGAAAATTGCATAAAAGGCCAAAAGATAATTGTCACCTCAGTAATGACAGAATTGACATTATTATGTAAAACAATTTAACTCCACCTGTCTATTGAGCAAACTTAGTTTAGGTTCATTTTTAGAGATTAAAAATGTAACATGTGCGTGTTATTTTACCAACAAACTTGTCTACTACACAAACGACTGAATGCATGTAAGTTTTTATCACGTTCCCTTTTTAGTTTAGTTAGTTTATTACTACCACTAATGATCAAACCTGACGTGAGCTTTGTTTTTCGCGAACGTTTTTACCGTCTTTAATTGACTGCTATACAGTCGAGGCGAGGACTAGACGAGGCCCTTTCGGCGTCGTAGGTGGGTCCTGCCAAAACCGTCGCCCCTGTTCTAAGGGGACGAAGCTTTAGCGTGTAATTAATAGGCAAAGCACTTATTGGCTGAGTCTTTGAGTAGACAGATTATGACGAATGAGGCGTTTCGTCGGAATCTACTGGCGGACCTGACAGAGTCGCGGATTGGAATAAGAACAAAAAAAGCCGGCCTATTGCAAAAACATGTATCATTGTTGCCCAACAATGCCGCCGACACAGTCAGGTACACTCATATGGTCCGGTAGCCGGAGGTATCGCTGTGCCTGTTTGCAGTGCAATCTGTGCTTATTTTCGATGATAATGTACTGCTATAGTAACACTAATCAACACAATACAAGACTAATTTAGTAATGTACAAAAGCACAGACGCCACGTACACGTACATGTACGCACACATGACTCCTCAGAACATTACGTTCACAGTACGACTAACGCAGGTGATGAATTAGAGGAAGGGACAGCGCGGAAGCGATCTACGAACGATGTTCACTGGCCAAATTTTGCTACTTGTACATCGTTCTAGGAGAGGCCTCGAGGCACCGGCTAGCGAATGAAGAACTATTACGGTAGCATTATATTATTGTTATTAGCATGATTCTTATTGAGCGTAGGCCGTTTTCGTTATGCGCAGCGCAGTGTATGCATGCGTATGATCTATGAGCGGCAATTTAGTCAGAGGCGAAATGGCGAACTAAATTGTGCGTCAATCTGTTGTGAAAACGAGACAGGTAGGGTCGTTCGTATGTTAGAGCGCTTCCGCATGCTCAAGTATGCTGGAAAGCGTCTGCATAACGTATGTATGGGCTTGTGAACGTGTGCTGTTCTCGGTGCGAATACGCAGGTGTCATACGTGACAGCCCCGGATGCTTGCCCGTGTCTCTTCTTAACATTTTCCGAGTATTGTTATTGAAATACGGTTCTAATTGTGGCTTTGTTTTGGTTGTTGTTGTTGCAATAAAAACTGTTGTCCTTTGTAATTATTATCACATGTTTAAAGCTACCCACAAGTGTTAGACTCACCAAAGAAAGAGGCTTCAGTGTAACTGTGTTAACAATTTCCAGTAGAACAACTTTAGACCGTCGTCACCCTCTCTGCCTTTACCATTCTAGGATCCACTACGTCAACTCAGGCAATCGTGTGATTACTACTATTAGAACACCGACAATGGCAACAACAGGTATTTTTCCCGTAGCTTTCTGAAACTGGAGTTGTAATCTAGCGCGTCGAATGTAATTTGTTTTCAACAATATTTAGAGACTAATTACATAACACAAGAGCTGCAGAAAGGACACGGAAACTCCGGGCGAAAGCAACGATCTTATACTTGCATCGTACCATATGAATATATATTCGAATACATACCGCAAGATCAAATACCCATACACACATATTACACGTATATCTACTCTAACCATACATACAGTGCATACTATATAGATACTAATAGTTATATGATCACATGCTGGTCTATCATTGAGGTATTTATATTCTACACATTTAGGGCAGAAGTTTCGTACAACGAGATGTTTATCCTGTTCTTTTCTTCGGAAGGTATTTGGTGGTACAGACGCCTCACGGTACATGGCATTTTGTTTTTGCCCCGTGTTGTGTTGTCAGCAGACGAAAAGTCACACGGCAAACTCAATTCGAGTGCAATGCCTCAACATAACGGCTACACTTAGGAAGAATAGAAAAACAGTAGTAGTGATTACTATTATTACAGATTACGCGAATGGTGGTGATAGAAAAAGATTAGTTTCATGCGCAATGAGTTTGTAGCTTATTGGGCCATTATGAATGGCCCACAAGCCTTTGTAGGCGATAAAAGCGCATCAGACTTTAATATATTTAACGCTAATTATTACAACTGTGAATGTAATATATAAACACACAGAGAATCATATACGATGCGAATAAAGCTATTCTATTTTGGAATGATAGGCGGCCATTCAAAATAATTAGTTTCTTATTGTTCGGAAAAAAATCGAGGAAATTTATTTCGACAATTTGACGAGCCTTGACAAGATGACTGAGCGTTAAAAAGAAAAATTTAACGTTGCTTTTATATTTTACCAATTGCATCTATACTTGCCGGCGATTCACAAATAGATTTGAATTTTTTTCTACTCCGTGTGGTACGTTTTTCATGAAGTTGGATTTTTCGAAATAATTCGGGTGTTTCGAAATTGTTGCTTACTAAATGTTCGTTTCGTTAGCAGATGAATTAAGCGTGAATTTTAGAGTGACAAATCTACACGAAGTTGTTTACTGCACATTTATACAATCAATACGTTGCTGCCGATAATGGAAGAGATTTTGTCCGACAGACAATTATAACAGGGAGGAATTATTAGTCAAAGGAATAACAAATCGCTCTTTTCTACTGCGTGAGAACCAAAATGCAACAAAAACGGCGAAATATGGCAAATACATGAATCATATGCGATACATGACAGCCAGGATGCAACAACTGAGGGTGAGACATGACAATGAGACACAACACAGAAAGTGACGTAAGTGCTAATGAATGAATGTACTTAAAGGAAAATCTCTATGTATCAAAGTAGGCTACCATTGTACTTGTACCTTTGTGTATATAAATATATAACTGAAGAACCGATGAAATAAAATGCTAAATTAAGAATACTCCTACCACGTCTGTGTTTTTCCATATCGGAGATATTCATACCATACAACTTTATCCGCGCGTATATACAAATTGAAATGTGATTGCGTTCGTTGTGTAGGTAAAACAAGATTTGTATTGCCCCCAAGTTGTCTGTTACAGAACGTTTAATAACTGGCACAAAGCGTGAACTTTGCTATTGAGGTTTGGTTAGCTTAACCTGAGCTGACTGAGGCACCGTCCATATCTGTTATCACGCGTAGAAGCGAGCGGATTAAACCTTAGGCCTGAGCGATGTACTCGTATGATATATAGCCCTGATGTAGCTTCGAATACAACACCATCTCTCATGAGTTTTGATTATCTTCACCTTTTTACAACTATCTGTTTATCTTATTAAACCCAAACTACATTTCGATATATAATGCCATCGATGCGGAACATGTTCTTGTTAGACGATTGACAGTTTTAAGGTGTGCACAAATTTCAGGGGCTCATAGTTTTGCTATCGAAGTGTTTGCACATGCGTAAGGCTACAATTAGTGCTGTGACCATTGTTTAAGCTGATATATGAGGGGGCAGCGGCGCATAAAAATAAACGATAGTCCCAGGGGCGTGGATAGAGGAGGTGAGAGCAACGATATATGCGTGGCTAAAGTAATTTGGCTCTTTTTGATATCAGGTAGATTAAGATGAAGTATATATGAATTATCTGTTGCTGCTGGGAAAGTCGACGAATGATATCGGTGATAGCGGCTGCTGCTGAGTGTCGATTTTTTACAGTCATAAACGCGCTAGTCTTTAGCGTGACGCTGCATCATATAACAAGCTCGGTCACAGGATTTTTTGTTCGCTTTTTGCGCCGTATCAGCTACATGTTACTGGGTCCTTCATTGACAGTTTCACTGTTATCCACTTTTGCATCATAGCGGGCATGGCTTTGGACGCCGGCGACGTCGTCACCCTCTGCTTTTGAGTGGTTCAGTCCATTTCTATTCCTGTCGAACTTGTTTCGCAACCTGCCAAATTTCAAGAGACGGTCGGTCGTGGCCTTTTTCTAGGGATATAATTTCGCGCTAACTTCAGACGGTCGACAACAGTATAGCCAGCCTCTTACTATATTTTCTCAATACAAAGGTACATATGTTTGCCGCCTTTCTGAGCGTCGCCCGGTACGAAAATTGTGAATTATATGACTCTATTGATCAGAACTACAGTATTCAGAGTATAATAAATCCTATACTTCAATAAAAAAGGAGTAAATTGCTTAAATAAATGTAAACCTGCATTTCTGAGTAATAGTAGTGATAAATGTAAAGCATTATTAATTTCACAATCGCACACGTTGTCGCACACCAGTGAGATAAGGAAAAACGTCTTCAACGACATATTAAAAATATCTGTCGCAATAAATGCCTTCAATATTTTTGAAAGTTTCTTCAATATTTTAAGATGATTTTCTCTAACGATTGTAATTAAAAAGCGGTCTATTAAATTAAAAAGCGGAGTTTTCTTGGAATAAACCGTTTCCAAGCATTTTACACAATACGATCTATACGGATATTTATTTCTAATGATTAGTTTTAATAATCAGTGAACGGACTGAGCAAAATCTCTAGAAATCTTCGTTGGGTTACATCGCGTAGCTAATACTGTACTTAAGTTACACTCGAGGTTATAATAAATTCTAATACCGATCGAATTAACTAATTGCATTGATGATCGGAAACCTATACAAGACTAGATATAACGTTCCTTTAACGGACCCAAGACTCCTTCCATCAGTTGGAAAGGGCTTTTTTAGGATGCGAGCGTAAATTTAAGCTGCAGAAGCTATGCTTCGACACGCCTTGCTTGTGCCCCGTGCCTCTCGATTCATGACGGCGATCATTACCTACGAAGGGCATCAGATACTTGTTCACCCAGTACACAATTTCGTCCGCATCTGCATATCTGAAATTTGCATATACACTACAAACGTCTTATATCAGTCAGGCGGGTCGCATTCATGTTCTTGTTATTTAAGACGACGCACTCAAAAAAACCTTCTACTGATACAGCAAAGCAGTCTATAATATTTTAAGGTATCAGACGTCAGGATCTAAAATGTTTTTTCATCCTTTTTCTACGCTGTGATTTGCCTTCTTAACCACAGCATTTATAACTTTGCCGCAATCATACCGTGGGTCGTACGCTTATAACAAATATCTACTTCTGATACTGTCATTAAACACCGCGTTATATGAATGACAACTCCATGTAACAAGAAATATTCCTCGGGTTAGTGTATAGAGCAGTTCGACGGTTTGTCTCCTTCAGCGATCCTTGCCAAGACATTATCCTGTTCCGGACAACCGGAAATATTTTAAATATACGAAGATCATTGTCATCAGGCCATCACTAAAAATATATCTTGAGACCGCCTCAATCTGTACTTGCGTATCATTTTGTTTAGTATATAGGATAGTATTGTAAACTTAAGGAATATTAACGATTTGACCATCAGCTGATAGACTGCAGCCTCCGCGCATTTGCCCACATTGGTATGCTAACTGACCTAATACATAAGAACGTGCATAGTTTATGCAGCAGTTAGAAAATACATATCTAAAAAGCGGGTATCCTTCTTGGTATACGAACCTATGAAGCCTGCGCCTATGCAGCACGTCATTAGCTTGAGTTCTCTCGTTTTATAATCACATTAGAGGACTACTTCGTTTCAGAGCGATGAATTAGAAACCAGCTTGGCGGTGTGTCCTTGTCTATTACGTAAACTAGTTTCTATTAGTGAATGTAGGCACTTGTTCATTGGCTAGCTCGCATTCATTGCAGACACTGTTTTTATAGCCCAATACATACCCGTGTTGGGTGTAGGATAGGATTGTGGGGAAGACAATAAAAAAAAACGAAGCAATGTTCTGTGTTACAATTTGAAACGCTAGCTATAAACATAAATTTCTTAAATTAAGCAGATTTCTCCACAAGTCTTCAATGATCGGTGTTTTTCCTGAACTAAAAATAACTTCGAATGCTCATTTGGTATAGTTAATTTCTTCATGATTTTTCCTATTAATGTTATTTTAGTCTTTTACATGTTTAACGACCAAATGATCTAAATTACTTCGACGCCTTTTTTACCATAACCATCATTACTACTAGCGCTATGTCATATTGAAGCGCGGGTTATGCGTTACTCCGGTCGATTCACAGAGGCAGTACTCACCTGAAGGCCTTAACGTTTTACAACTACATCAAGTGAGTTATAAAACCTAGAAAGGAAAAAAGCGATGAAAAATACGATTATAACGATAGGTGAATCTACTTCCTCCGCGTAGCATACCAACGACGTTGTCGTATAAAGGCGCACTTTAAATGTAGGGGAGCGGTGTTGGGCGGTAAACATAGAATAGTTTGATGCAGTGAAGAAATTGTTTAAAACTGCCTTTTACTCGGGGTCGACGTATCACAAAGGAACTATGCCAGTACTCTAAGGGAGGAGAGTAAAGGGGCCTATGAGGACATTGCTGCTGCCGCTGGCTGTATTGATCTAGGTTGAGCTAAAGCAGTGGACTTGCTAATAGTATAGAACCTCCAACGGCGACACTGTTCGACGTACTTTATTAGTTCTTTAGCGTCTTTGCACCTCTTTTCCGTTCTTGGTAAGCGTATCTGGTTTAAATGTTGATCCAATTTTAAGAGCATCGTTCATCAAAGAAAAAAGCTGCTTAGTGAAGGTCACGACCTGTCACTATGTACCATCATTCGCTGACAGATCTGTCTTAACATTGTTCCAACAATACAAGCTGTTACATACGCCTCACAACAGGCTTTCCTAATATATACGATCGCAATGTATTACGATTGTGTTCTGTCAAACCCAAAAAGATCGTTCAGGGCTGTCAGATCGTCCGGTCTGGCTAGGCCAGTGTAAATGTTCTAATCCTATTCCTTTACTACTAGGCCTCTTCTCGGTTCCTCATCCATGTAATAAATACGCAGTGCGAAAAGCTGTACATATACACACTTTTCGAGCACTTGAATTGAACAAATCGCTTGCATACTTAAGCCACAAATCTACGGATGGTAATGGTTGTATGTAAAATACAAAAACGAGATACGATAGATCGCAGAATGCGGTCTAATCCCTGGACCTTGACTAAGCAAGTATTACAAAGCAGCTTGATGGTGCGTTAGTAGCTGCTGCGTCGGATTTCTTAGCTAGCGAAAATTCCTCGTCGCTTAGTATTTTGGGCAGCAGAGTTGAAACTTCAGCACGGAGATGATCTTACTTTGATTGCTGCAGCCCAGGCTGGAAAGTTCGTCTACTGGAATCCAGTTTGGCCGTATATTGCCGGTATGCCCATCGTGTGTGTACTGGGCATGCGAATTGGTACATAAAGGCGTTTCTTCTATCGCAGATATAAACGACAAGGTAACAAAACAAGCTAGCCATTCGATAAATTGCCTGAAGTGGTCACGCTTCTTTTTAACTTCGGATGGCAGAGGAAAATAGAGACCAAGAGAAACTAAAAGAATGCTCTTGCTCGAACATAAAGATGTATCAATTCGTATCGGTCGAGTGGTTTGGCAACGTTTTTATGAAATTGAAGGTACGGCACTTTCGTTTGCAGACAGAAGTTATAATAGTACCGTCCTATTATAACGACTGCCATTTCGTATATATGAGGTACGTCTGTGGGTGCACTGGCCCGTGTAGAGCCATAGCGGGAGAGCATCCTTTCGAACGTTTTCAAACGCAGCTGCGTCGAAACCGTGCGGCAACGGGAGTCTGGATCTGTGACTGTTAAGTACGTCGGGCATGGGAAAGGGTTAGAAAGAGGCACGCAGTCAATGTTGGTAATGATATGAACATCGAACGAAAAACGAAGGGTACGACGAGGAAATTGTTAGAACACGTGCTGGAAAAGCGCAGCCAGCAGCGGTCTAGCTGACGAACAGAACGAGAAGCTACAGTGTCATTCGCACGTTTACGACGGCCTGACCGTTCCTCCGTTCCTTCGATTTT